ACTTTTTTATTGACGATTTATTTGTAATCAATTCAATGAATGACGATTTGCAATTCTTCAATGATCCGTAAAGATATTTCCGATTTCATTATTTTCTTAGTTAATTATTTATTTCGTATTAAAACAATTAGCGCATTAGTTCTTGCCTTCACTCTCCTTAAAAATCTTATCCCGCACAAATGTAATCTGAAGTTGGGTAAGAGGCGAAACGAAAGAATAGTTTACATGCTGGTGGGGATATCTGTCGGGTATCAGTTACTTATCGAGAGCATAAAAAAGCCATTCAACAAGATTCCCATACTTATGTATGTGTAACTATGCAATTTTTTTTACATACACTTCCTTGAGTAACTTAGCAATTATGCGAAATTCGCCTTAAAACGTATGTAAGTTTTTTGGTTGTTTTGAATGTCACAACTCAATCGATTTTACATTGACTTGGAATTGCTTGTGAAGGTAGTTTCAATTTGTACATAATTGCAGTCATTTCAACAATTGCAACTTATTGTTGCACTCATTGATGTTATTTCTCATAAAGCAGAATATTTCAAATAGCGCCATAAAATTAATAACTGAATAATTTTTCATAAGTTATTCGTGCAGAAATAAATAAAGAGCTAAAGAAGTCAATGCAAAGCCGGAACTTTTTTTTTTCAAACAAAACTAAAGACTAAAATGTAAGACCGCGTCTGCTGTCTGCAAGTAAGAATTGATTTATGAACCATGTATTCCACCCCACACGCTTTGCCGAATGACCGAAGGTTGGTTTTATTTAAATTTTTATAGCAACATTGATTTTTCAAACTTTTCGCAATAATATTAAAGAACAAAAATGTAATTAAATTACTTTACAATAAGTAGTGTGACGTAATTTCAAAATTGTTTTTTCTTTTTTTTTTTTGTGTAGAAGTTCAAGTTATTGCATTTACCGGTTTCTGAGATCAATAAAGAACTTGATTGATTCGTTTCGATTAAGCAGAGAAGCTCGCACGGAAGACTCTTTTACTTGCATTTTGTCCGAAGCAGTAATACTCTGTCTTCTCAACAGTCATTGATTTATTTTGGATTATTATGTATACGGCACTACTTCATCGCTGACGCGTTCTCTAACATGCAAATTTATTTATTACTACGTCTTATTGAAAAGATTTTATTACGTAATGGAGGGAAATTTTATACAGAATCTTCGACACAAGGTAAATAGTAGGAGTTTCGCATAACGAAACAAACAAAGTCTTCAACCATGTTCAACGGAGAGCTGAGCCTTTAATTAAAGCAAACAGAGCATACGATCCACCTATGAATTCGCCTTTGGAATATCTTACAAATAAATAATAAAGCAATAAATGCTTAAAAGAATGGACTTTGAAGTGTTACCCAAACACATACATACATTTGTTGTTACCATCTCTGATTTAATGAGTCTAGAATGTGACACTTTGAAGTGAATCCGAAATTAAATCTCTTCTCTTATTATTTCCTTGCTCTGTTTAGCTAAAGAAAGAGCAACTTTTTCTATTTGTTTTATACCCGACCGGTGACTCCGAATTTATCTTCGAATGCTACACGCATCCTATATGCTTAATTGAACCAACTATCTTCTAAGAGGGTTAATGCTTTCTATTAACATGTGTACACGATCTCAAAGACTTTAAATACAAGTCTGTTAAGAAGAAAGAAATTCATCCATCATAATTATAAGATATTTTTTTAAACAACTCGAACAGTAATTATCTTGTTTGCGATATGGTTTTTTTCCCCCATTAACTGTGGCCCCAACACAAAAAGCGAAAGGCAGTGGTTTACCTGCCACCCATTTAGTGCTTCCCGAACAAACTGTTTGCGGTCAAATAGACACAGAGAGAGAGAGAGAGAGAGAGAGAGGCAGAAGGAGAGCTGCGTTATTGAAATAGCAAATGCGTCGACACGCAAACAAATACAATACATACTACGGCTATTGCTATTGCTTAACTATGAAATATATTATATTGCGCAAAACCGCAAAATACTAATAACGAACGAACACTCAGCAAGGATATAATTTTTCACAATCGTATTCAAGAAAAGGAAAAAAAAAAACAATATTGTAGACTGATAACCAAATGCAAGAAAATTGATTTTTCTTTTTTCAACAAGCCTTCAACATTTTAAATGCACAAAATCTTATTACAATTTTTCGAAACTTTTTGCAAGTTACATAGACTTTTAGTTATTTACACAATTTATGTTAAGTTTGCGCATAGATACGTAACATTTACAAGGACTCAACTTTTATTGCTTCAGATTCACTGTAGTGTTTAAAAAATGTCCGTCTGTCTTGCGTACTTATGTTCAGCTAACAGGTCACAATTTACGAGTTGCTATGATTGAATTTGGTGCACCCATGTGTTTCGGACGAAGTATAAACGCTCTTGAAAACGGGTAGAATCGGATCACATACGCCGCCTTGGTCTAAAAACTCTTTATATGATCTAGGGCACTTAATGAAGGGCCACGTGTTCACTCGTTTGCACATTTTAATGTTTCCTTTAACTCGCGACAAAAAAAAGGCATGTTGATAACACCAAGTAGCCGCCCCGACCGATGGCTCTGAAAACGTATTATATCGACTACAGATGCAGGTTTTTGATTGTTCCAAATGGAGCAACGAAATTACTAAACTATTTTATTAAAAAAAAACCTAAAAGAAAAAGTCCCGGACGGAACAAGGAGAAAAATCTACCGGATTAAACTTATGCACTTCTCACAGAACAGACAAATTGAAGAAAATTTGCGGCAAACGAAAGAAATTTCATTTTTATTCATTTTTCCATTTTCCCAGTACAGGTTTTGCAGTAAGTAGGCTAAAAAGAAACTAAAGAAAATGGCACGTTTCTAATTAAATATAAAAATTCAGGTAAAAATTTCTCTTTTACATTAAAAATTGAAAAAAAGAAAACAATTTCTGGGGCAAGAGACAAGAAGAATGAATTTCTCAAACCGAGGAGTGTTAATAAGAAAGAATTTAGACGAAGAGAAACAACTCGTCTAAAAGAAATCCCTTAAGCATAAGTATTCTCCGTTGTTATTTTCGTCAGTGAAAGACGGCCGAATATTAGAATATTAGTGGAAATGTGCTCGGCCCATAACCTGAAGTTGATAGTTTGAAACAGTTTCTTAGAAAAATTAAAAGTAACACTAGTACGAAGCGAAAATGCCATACGAGTTAACCAATACATTGAGATTAACAGAACTACTGTGCAGGAATTGTGGTGCATTTTACAAGAAATTTTAATAACATTGTATTATGTTATTTCCACCAGCAATGAATGGCTTAAACCTGTCTTTGATAAAACGCGTCATAATACGACTGCAAACTTATTTATAAAAGTGAAAAGCGAGTGATTGATAGCATGTAAACGGTGTTGTTATAAAACCGAATGCTTTCTAAGGTGACCACAAGAACGAGTCCAAAGAGTTGCCCACCCAGTTCACAGTTCCAAAAATTGTAGCCATTGAAATGCTTCGGTTGATTGACGAATTGATTGATGTAGTCATACCTGGTAATGAAATGGAAGTGAAATGCGTGGACAAAGATTTGCAGCTGAACAACAAAGAAAGAATTCCGTACGCTACTAGCAGTTAGTTAAATACTATGAACTTGAACGATCCGTACTCGAAATGTGCTCTGGCTGCTTAAAAACCGATTCTTTGCCCCTATACGCGACCTGTCCTTACAGTTACAATGCTATAATTCATTTAATATTTCCTTTGTCTTATTATATTTCATTGATTAGTGTTTCGGTAAATTTTTTTTTTCATTTTTTTTTTTTTTTTTTTTTCATTGAAATCATACAATAAAATTTTAGTTTTCATTTCCTGTAGTGCCGCCATTCAACTCACCCTGGCGTGCTGTATGTAGCATAAAAAGGAAGCGATTGCCAAAAAAAAAAGAAAAAAGGCAAAGGAAAAAATGTTTTATTGTTTAGTTTTCCATTTTTTCTTCTTTTTAGTGCATAATCATAATGATTTTACTCTCTGGTGACTGGGAAATGAGGACAAAAGTTCACTTTTATAAGTTCGGAGTTTTTGCCTTTCCTTAAAAATAAATTTTTTCTTTTTTTCTTTTTTTTGGATACAAATACGACAAACACTATTTAATATCAAGAGGAAATTCATGCGTAGAAATAAATATGAAAACTTTTGTTGAAAGTTGTGTTTATTCAAATCGCATAAGCATTTGGGTTTTGAATTATCAATCAATTTTTACTTCAGTCATCAGTTTTTATTGTAATCAATATACAAAATAAGTAAGGCAGAGACATAAGTGCTATTTTCGATACAGCTTTTACATCAGAAAGTAACATGTAAAAATGTTTACATGGAATTTGACATACCTGAGGAATTAAGGTCCAAACTTTTATAACCCTAAATATCTACAACATAATAGGAACTCGAAAACTATTTTTCACATTTATTTATATCCTGCGAATGGGGGGCGTGGGGCATTAGATTTTTATTGCAGCCATGCACATGATTTAAAAAAATCTTGTTTTAACTTTATATGCTGCGTTGCATGTCCAGCGAACGTTCATTACGTATGTATAAATTCTGAAAACACAAGAACACTGATTACCCAGCTTAACATGCACGACACAAAATTTATGGGAATTTTTTATATCCTTCATCGAAGGACAGATATACGTTGTCTTTGTCGTTGCGTTTGCAACACTCGAAAATAATTCATTATTCAGTTGCACTATATACTTCTGTAGGGCTAACTATCAAATCGATATGGTCTGGTGGTTGGCCCAAAAGTTTTTTCGGTCTTACGTAAATATTTTACACGAAAGTATTACCAATCTACTTAAAGGCTTGACCATGATTTTCCTGAGTTTCACATATGTACATAGCATGCTATAGAACAGAGGTATCCAACATTCGCCTTAAAGCGAATATATATTTTTTACTTATGTCTTTTAAGAATATTTGCAAAGAAAGAAAATAAATGCAAAACTTACCTTTCGTTTAAAGCAATAAAAAAAAAAAAAAAACAATAGTAAAAAACCGTCGTGTTTATGTGTTATCCGCTTTTGAATGTTTGGTTTTTATATAAATGCCACGCAATTTGCACATAATCCAATTGAGAAAACACTTAAATCCACAACAAGTCCAAGACTCCTGACGAAAGAAGCCTTGCGTGCAAATGAAGGAAGAATATAAACCGAAAAATACACAAAAACACACACCTGCTAAAGGATATGATAACTATCGCGGACAATAACAGTAAGCAACTGAGTGAAGGCAATTCGTTATTTTGGGATGCCCACGAAATTTGTGAAAGAAACGACGACGTTTAGGTCAAATGAAATGCAAACGCAACGAATCGTAACGAGTACGGTTACGAATAAAATTAGTGATAGTAAGAGAATAGCTCCAGTTTATAATCTATGCTCCAAATTATAGCGAGAGAAATGAGCGAGTATCTCGCATGGGAGTTTTCCTTTTTTCCTCCTTTTTCTTCTAATTTATAGTAGCAATAAAAACAACCAGGACAAAAACAATCGATCTGTTTATGTAGCACTTGTAGCTGTAATTACTGTTATTGTGATTATTCTCAGTGTTGTTATTATTGCATTCGCGGTCTTTTGTAATTATCGGTTTTTAGAAGGAAAAAATATTATGAAAGCACTATTAAAAACATACGTACGCACACGGCATACAATTGGCTTTATATTTTCTTGGCCAAGACTATATATTCCGCATACACACACAAGCGAACTTCGATATAGGCAAAAAGAATTGCCTACGCCTTGCCCGTAATCCAAAATTTTGAAACCAAATTTCGCTTACAAACTAAACTTGACGGTCTTTGTTTCTTTTCTTAAAAGAAGATTAGTAAGAATTTATTACCTTTCTTCAATTTATTAAAGAATTACGATTTTCCTTTTTTTGCCGTAGTTTTCTATTTACTTCACACATAATTCTTTTGCTATTATTTATTTATTTCTTTTTATTTTTGGTTTCGTTTTCTCGTATATCTTTTATTGTTTTACTTTAGTACATTTCTTGCGCACACACGCGCGTACGCAAACACACGTTATAAAGTGGCTGGTTAAGTTTACTGGTTGGTTGGCCGTATCATCTTGGGTTAATACACATTTGCACACGTTCGTATTTGCTGATATTTATGTGGCTGAGTTACCGCATATGAATGAAAAGATTCAAAAGAAAAAGGCGAAAGGAAAACAGCAAAAAAATGAAGCAATTCAAGAAGCACATCGAGTGAGGAGAGTACAAATGAAAAAAAAAATCCTAACTAAACGCGCACATACACCATACATTCAAACATTCGTGAAAAGAATACTTGGTAATAAATAAGCTGCCTTCGAATTTTATCAATTAACGATAACCAATAACTATTGATGGTCTTTCATATAAAAAATACCGAATAAATGCGTTTCTTTTTTAGTAGTAGTTTTTAGTTAAATCTCCATTTACACATTTTTTTAAAGTTCGTACCTGTATAAATTGTCTGCGTTTTCCGACACTTTCTTTTTAGTTTCTTTTGCTCATATTTTGTACTCTCTTAATTGGTATTATATTCTCCCCTTTTTGGCCATAATTTTTTAAATATTAATAAACATTTCTCTATTTGATTTTTTACTTCTTGCATTGAGCATATTTTTTCTTTAAAGGCACTATTTTCTTGTTTTTAATTTATTTCACATTGTAAATATTTGCTAAATCGTATTTTCAACGCTTGTGTTTTCCATAATTTCTAAACGTCGAATTTTCCACATCCATATCCCTCTGAAATTTATTTAATATTTTTATTTATTTATTTCATTTTAATTTGTCGGATTTTCTGTTTTGTTTATATTAATTTCACTAACTCATGCGATAAGAAGAATTTATTATAACCTTTCTCATTCAAAATGCAACAACAAATACTCATTAACAATCGCTGCAACCGCTGAAAAGAATGCTGCTGAGAATAAAATTCTATTTCTCAGAAAAAAAGACATTCTTCGCACTCGTCTTAGCAAAATTTTAAGTACAGGATCAGCTGCTTTCAATTGGAAAGCATATATACGAAAACTTTTAGATATAAAATGTACGCATGAAATGGTAAGTGCTGTCAAATTTTAAACACTCGAGAATTAACTCACAAAAAAAAGAAGCAAATATGAAAACATAACCTTAAACAAACTACTTTTTTAAATTATATAATTGGCAAATTTTAAAATAATCGGTAGCAAGATGGGTTTATGCAGTTATACGATCTTAATTACAGAAACTACTTACTCATTTTTCTGGAACACAATTTCGGTCATGTCCTCACACATAGAAATGAAACCTCAATCTCCATACCTTCCTTTTATTTGAATTTTACACTACAGTCCGGCTTATATGTCTAGATTATTAATATGGAACTCCTGTGCGAGATTTTGTCCCATTAAATATTATTATGGCATGATTTTTATTACTTTTACATTTCCCAATATTGAAGCATGAAGAAGCTGACGTTTCTTCTCGTTTTTTCAGTTACATTATGTGGGGGGCTTTGCTATTTGGCCGTTGGGAAGACTGGGATTATTTAGATGGCAGCTATTTTTGCTTTATTTCTCTAAGCAGCATTGGCTTTGATGATTTAGTGCCCGGAGATCGTGTGGTAAGTTTTTATAACCTACACCAATTGCGGTACAGGGCATATTAAGTTAGTGCGGACGTATGGAACACCGATCAATTCAGAATCGCAAACTAAATAGATTTAAGCCCTGCTGTCCATTTGACCGTCTGCCCTTGGAAATTTGTATTCAAATTACGGGTCAGAATTTTTGATATATATTGATGAAATTTGCTACAGTGATATGTTTTGACACAAGGACGAACGCTATTGCAAATGGTTCGGACTACTTCCCATATAACGCTCTATTCTGAAAAGCCATTGCAATTTTCAAAATTTCTCGACAAAAGTGCTCAAATATTTTCCCATTTTAAATTGGTATGAAAACTTTGACCAGTAATTAGTCATATTGCTCTGTTATTTAGCAGTAATCAGTCACTTTGCTCTGTTATTTAACAGTTCTCAGTTACACTGCTTTGCTATTTAACAGATCTCATGACAATTGTGTTGCCGTACATTCTTATTGTTTCTTCTTCTTATTGCTTTATTTTAGCGTAAAAGAAATAGGCAATTAAGTAACGGTTTTTTAACCAAAAACCTTTTTCAAGCGCTTGCGAAGGATTGAGAAAGAAAAATTTTTTAGTTAGAGAAATGATTTCACCAAAAAATTATAGAAAGAAACTCAATTAAACCAAAAATTTAAACA